AAAACATTCACACACACATGCATTTTTAAACACACATCAGCAGCCTATCCCCACTATCGACCTCAATTGACTCCGAAGACGACGGCGGCACCTCCTCCGTCTTCGGCTTCATTAAATCCATTGTTAAGTCCATTGAGTACCTAATTTTTCCTCTTTAATACCATACATTGTAAAGTAGTAGCAATTAGAAGCTCCCCTTGCAAAATCATTCACACCCTGCCTTTTGTTGCACTTTTCCTTCATCATCTTTCAACATTCACCCAATTCTCTAAATTATCTTGATAAATATGCACCTTGATAAACAACAATCACAAATTTTGGGATTTGATCAATATTAAAGTTAGGGTTTTGTATTATTGGATTTGCTGATAATGAAGGGTATACATGTCACATACAGGCTTCGTGAAGATCTGAAGTAGAGTCTACTGATCATCTCTATTGATTAATATTCCTAACTCCTCATACTTCTTAATTTGTTCATCTATGAATACATCGCCGACTTCATTCTTCAAATTTAAACAGTACGATGTCGTTATTGTTAGTGATTAGGGTTTAGGCTCAAACCCTTTAGGGTTTAACAATTAGGATTTAGGTAATCTCTATATATTCTTATGTAACTGTCTTTTGAGAATCAATCAATCAATTATCTGACATGGTATTAGAGCCCTAGGTTAAAACCTTGCTTCTGACCACAACCCACAATCACCGCCTTCCACTTACGGTGACCTTCTCTAGTAGTCGTCAAAGGCGCCTTCATTATATTCCATCGACATCTTTTTGACGGAGATGGAGAGAGAGAGAGAGAGAGAGAGAGAGAGAGAGACAGAAATGCACGGTTACGGGAGGGGATTGGTGGGTAGATTAATTCTTTTTATTATTATTATTTTTAAATAGAAAATGTATTAATACAGATTTAAAAATAGGGAAAAAAGAAATGAAAATTGTAAAATAGTCTTTTTCAAGTTGTTGAAGGACCAAAACATGGAAAAACTATGATTTTGGATCTTCTATACAAGTGGAATTTTTTTTAATCCCATCCAATGTTTTTTGAATACCATAAGGACCAATCTTGGAGTTTATGAAAAATTACTATTGTGTGGATGAACAACTATTGTGTGGACGTATGGATAATGCTATTTTATGAAAATTACTAAGAGAATATGTTGTTTACTAATGTGAATACGTTCAATCTCACTGAACTATTATTATTTTAATGGATTCTCAACAATTCTAATTCATTTTTGTTCTCATGCATTGTTGTTTATTTATTTAATTCTTATATAATACGACTCAATAAACATCTTGATAACATTCTGAAAGAATAAGAATAATTAATAAAAAGTGTATAATAACCTTATAGACGATTTAATTAATGAAAATACTTAATAATTACAATAATTGTATAAGATTGAACGTATTCATATTATTAAATAACATATTTTCTTTATCATCTCACAGAATAGCATTATCCACACATCCACACAATAGATATCAATCCACATTTGAACCTAGCTCTCTCTCTCTCTCTCTCTCTATATATATATATATATATATATATATATATATAAGAGTAGATTGAACACCAAGTTTGACACAAACTTTTTTTATTGATATTAAATACAACATAGAAATCAAGTCATGTGACTGTGTACATAGATAATATTATTTTTCAAGGGCACACCTTGTAACTGAGACAATTTTTTTTGTCACATTTGGGGTCAAACGCTTTATCGCAGAATTTCAAACAGTCTGCATCAGTCTGACAAGATAACTTCCGGATCGGAAATTCACATTTATCTCTTTCTGTCCAATGTATAAAATTCTCACTTGCAACAAACAAAACAATCCATCACCATTTGTATTTATTTAATATTTATTTTCTCAAAATCACACACATTATCTCATCTTTTTCGTCTCAACAGCAAAAATATGGAGATGGAACAAACAAGGATTATACTTTCTATAATAATAATTAAAAACACAAATTAAAATATCTTCATAAATCAACATATATGTGTAACAAAAAAGGTAAAATAGGAAAAAAGTAAAATGCATGTAGCAAAGAGAGTAAGGAGCATCATCAACACAAATAACAGTAAGCTTTTTCCCATGATCATATCAAACAATATATGTATATGTTAAGAAACCACAATTAGCTCCCCTTATATATAGGTAAACACCACCTATGGATAATTAATTATTGCCAATTTATTCACGTTTTCAAATTTGGTGCTTGAAAAATATAGTAATCCACAATAATAGGTAAAATACTTTTATCTTATCGCTCCAAAACCAACTTGGATTCAATACATATGTAAGACATATTCCGCCAAAACCCATTTTTATTTTTCCTTCCACGCTCCTGCAAAAGGTGGGTTTTTATTGTGTTTTATCTATGTTTTTATATCTTCGTTTATATTGATATTCACGATACTAAATCAATACTTCTTCCTTTCTACAGCCTTCTATAGCAGTAAACAATTGTTAACTTGGTTAATCAAAGGCAAAAATGTACGCATTTCATTGTTTATTAATAGTTCTTCCTTTCTATAGCCTTCTATCTGATAAGTGTTCATACTCTTTTTTTTTTTTTTTTTTTTTTTTGCTTTGTTGTTTTCTGTGAAATATATCAACATACTATGTATGTTTTGATTTGATACCATCATACTTCCATTAATCTATAATTGCAGCCAACTATTATTTTGCAAAATACAATTAATGTTTATTTTTGTTTTTTTTTTCATGGTTAAGTATGTCAACCAAGAATGTCTATGTTAATTGAACAACATCATATTTACATTAAACAAAAACCTTGTGAATCTTTGAGTTACTTTTTTCACTATATCTCATAATTATCTTTAATACTTTTCTATTTCTCATAGCACAAGCAAAATGACACATAACAGTGACTGTGAAATCGTCATTGATAAGCTGGTTGACATTGATGCCTCCAAATAATCACGGAATATTCTTTTTCAAGTTGTCATGATTTGGAAATAGACATACAAAAACAACCCAAACATGGTCAGCAGCTGGGACATGATTTTAATGGACCTGGAGGTAAGATTAAAATATTATGAAAAAAACTTACATTTTATTTTACTTTAATATAATAATATTCTTTATCACCTACATGGCACTAGAATGAATGCAACAATCAAAAAAAATCTCATAAATGCATTTCAAGCCCTCCTGGAAGAAGGAGCTGTAAGGCAAATCACTAACTTTGGTATGGCCAGAAACGAAGGAGATTATATGTTGCTTGCTCACAAGCATAAGATAAATTTCTACAAAACAACGACAATTCGTGTATCAAATCTTTTTGTTGATAGGATAGATCCTTTTAATTTTGTGAGTTTTCATGATCTGACAGCTAGAAATTTTGACACTCATGTTGCATTTGGTGAGCTTTTTCCCCTTAACAGTTTTGCATTTATTATATTATATAATTTTTTAACCAATTTATATTATAATAATTGATTCAAATTTACTTTTTGTAGATTTTATTGATCAAGTTGTATCTACTGATCCAATGAGAGTGATTAAGGAACATGTAAGGGAAACAAGGCTAATGAGTATTGTTGCACAAGATCTCAGGTACTTTTTTTTCATTAATTTATCATGTTTAATATTTTATTCATATAAGCCAAAAAATCAATTATAGTGGTAGGAAAATGCATGTTGCTTTGTGGGATGGTTTTGCATTGAAGTTGAACAACTACATATCTGAACATTAAAATGAAAATGCTCATGTGATCATCCTCCACGTATGGCAAAGCTCAAAACTTAGGGTGGTAAGAATAATTATTTTTAGATGTCTATGCTCATTACATTAATATTTTATTTATAATATGAAATCATCTATTACTTCAATTGCTATTTATACGTCAACCACAAGTCGGTAACTATTTATTTGGGTTGAGATTGCATATTAATGATGATATGCATCATATTTCAGAATTTAAAAAGGTGTATGTATTTGATGACTATAATATAATTCATTATTTTTTATTTTTAATTATTCTTAATCAATAATAATTATTATTGTTGATCTTCTTCATTTTTCCTTCTTATATGTAGCATTGTTGATTTCGATTTGAATGTTGAGTCTTCCATTAATACTACAAAACTTAACACAGAAACTGTTGTGGCCAAGCTATAAGATTAATACCTCCGTTATCAAATCAAAAACATTGATGATATTCCAGATTACAATGAGGTATACTTAATATTATTCATATGTTTCCATTATATATAATAATTTTTTTAATATGTGTGTGTGTGTGTATATATATATATATATATATATATATATATATATATATATATATATATATATATATACACATACCAATCAGGAAATAGGTTTGTCTATCATTGCTACTATAATCGGTTTCGATTTGGAGGAAGGATAGTATTCTTTTTATTGTCGTGACTATTCAAAAAAGGTAACTAAAATGATGATGATAGTGATGGTGAACCATTTAATTGTAATGGTTGCGGAGGAGTTTCTGATGTATTAGGGCAAGTAAGTTCATAATTTTACATTTGTAAACTTCTTGTCTCATGAATCTTTATTACAATGTTTCAATTTTTATTTTATTGTCCATTAACGTGTCATACAATAATATTTAGGGTAAGGGTCGTAATACGTGTTCAAGATGAAACTGGGTTTGTTTCTTTTGTATTGTTTGATCGTCATGTTAAAGATTTTATTCACCGCGGTAATTGGTTGATGGAAAAGATATCAAAGGTAGCGTTATATTATACTATTATATTAATTTGTACACACGACAAGTTAACTGTATATTGTTATTGCATTTTATTTTAATCGGGATTTATTAACTACTCACATGTTTTATTATAATATTCTTTAGGATCAAGGACGCAAAAAGACCCCCAATGAGTTCAATATGATGCTTAATAGGAAGTTTGTTTTTAAAGTTTAGATTTCAAAGTTTAATCTCGAGAACAATGATCACGCCTACACTGTTCATAAGATGACTGATGATGAACTTGTAGTTGGTGCAGTTTTCAAAAATTCACCTGCATACGAAGAAAACAGTATTCATTCTAATGGTACTCCTATCAACAAGTCTATTAAAGTAAAATTAAATCCATGTAATTTAGTATTTTAACATTGTTAATAAACATTTATTCTTGACATGGTGACAATATTAATGTTGTTAATTAACATTGTTTTATTAATTTGATACAGGAAAAGAGTGTTTCTGTTGAGGGTGACAATATTAATGTTGTTGATCTTGATGCGGTGACACCGAAAACTACTTCACTGAAACGCCCTATTGAGATTGTTACCATCACTGAATCGTTTGAATGGTCTATCTCAAAAGATGGTGTTGCTCCTCATACCCTTAAGATTCCAAAAATGGAATAACTCGAATAAATTTAGCAGTTATGATTATTTGACATTTATCATTGACGATTTTTCTTTCTGGTGGTAAGACAGCGCATTCAAGATTTCATATACCAATTAACTTGAATGAGAAATCGTTTTGTTCTATTACATCAGGTAACGATGTAGTTTCCATGTTGAACAAAGTGAGCCTTATAATTTGGGACGAAGCCCCAATGATGCATCGTCATTGTTTCGAAGCAGTTGATAGGACACTTAGAGATATTATCCTTCCTAAGAACAATGATGAACCATTTGGAGGCAAGACCATTGTATTTGGGGGTAACTTTCGACAAATTCTTCCGGTAATACAAATAGGAAATCGTTCAGATAATGTGCATGCATCATTGCATTCATCAAGATTATGGCGTGAATGTACAGTTTTACGTTTGACTGTAAACATGAGGCTTCAGTTCGGTTGTCCAAACAATGATTTCGAAGAGACAAAATCATTTGTTGATTGGATTCTTAAAATTGGTGAAGGTACTATCGGTAGTCCTAATGATGGTGAATTTGAAGTTAAATTTCCAGAAGATGTGATCATTCCCTCTACGGGTGACCATATTCATTCAATTGTATCCTGCATTTATTCATCTTTTCAGAAAAATCTTGATGATCCATCGTATTTTCAAGATAAAGCTATTTTGGTCCCTACTAATGAAGAAGTTGATGTTATCAAAGACTACATGTTAGAATTGATGGAAGATGAAGGGAAAACATATCTGAGTTTAGATTCCATATGTGAGATCGAGACAGAATATTCTTTTGAGGAATCAGTATACTCTCTGGATGTGTTGAATGCTTTTAAGGTCTCCGGAATTCCCAACCATAAACTTATACTGAAAAAAAGGTGTCCCGGTCATGTTGCTTCGTAATATCGACCAAACCAGAGGACTATATAATGGTATTAGATTACAAATCATAAGGCTTGGAAGACACATCATTAAAGCACGAATGATATCTGGTAGATTTTTCAACAAGACTACTTATATACCTCGCATGAAATTATATACCTCGCATGAAATTGAGCCCATCCGACAAAAAAAAAATTCCATTATGTTTTCATTGTAGGTAATTCCCAATAGCACTTTGTTTCGCTATGACCATTAACAAAAGTCAAGGATAGTCATTATCAAATGTTGGAATATACTTGCATAGACCAGTCTTCACCCATGGTCGGTGATATGTTGTTGTTTCTCATGTAACAAGCAAAAAAGTTTTGAAGGTACTCATATGTGACGAGGAACGTTGTTCAACTAATAAAACAAAAAACGTTGTCTACAAAGAGGTCCTATAACGTTTATAGTTATTTATCAATTTCAGTATTTCTTCTTCACCTTTCAATAATAACAATAGCCATAAACTTTCGTTTATAAGTATTATGCAATATATATATATATATATATATATATATATATATATATATATATATATATATATATATATATGCTTTGGTAATGTTTTTAATACGTTCCCCGCGTTTAACCCAGGTTATAATCTAGTATGTTAAGAAACTACAATTAGCTCCCCTTTTATATATATATATATATATATAATATATATATATATATATATATATATATATATATATATATATATATATATATATATATATATATATATATATATATATATAAACACCAGCTATGGATAATTAATTATTGCCAATTTATTCACACTTTCAAATTAGGTGCTTGAAAAATCTAGTAATCCACAATAAAAAAAATTATATTCCATTGTAACATCACCTGACCTATATTCAAAGTTTAAAACTTCAAACAATTATATAATTTTAGAAATTTAACAAAATCACATAAATTGACTTCATAATTAAATATTTTCAAACACATATTACAATTTAAGAACATAATTTTTACAAACAATCATATGTGTTTATATAAAGATATAAAGCATTAGAAAATATTAAGTAATAAAAATTAGGTCTTTTAAAATTACCAAACAAAAGTTAGGTTAAAACCTAACTCCATTTGACACATAACCGATAAATTACAATTACATAATCAAATATAATACGTTTTACAAAAATCCCATAAAATCAACAACAAATGTTTTTAAACATCTTTAAATCGTAATCTCATTAACCCATGATTTGGTCTGCCGACTCTTTCTCCCGCCTATTCCTTCATCAAAAAATTGCTCTTGAAAAACATGAATTTAAATTAGAAACTATTCTATTATCCTAATTAAATAAATCAACAACTTTAATTTTAACAAATTTTTTTCTAACGATGACCCAATTACTTTTGTTTGATTTGAACTTTCTTTTGCTTTCCAAAAAAATTAATTGAATGTGCATTAGTATTTATTGCACAAATTACCTTTTTGGCCACCTTTATATGGGGTAGTATCATGCAATTGTTTAAATTGTTCTGTTGTAATTGGTGCAATATGCTCCAACCATTTTGGTTTTGTTATCTTTTTATTAAAAAACGAAAGTGACGTAGTATAAGGTAGAGAGAAATTAACCAACAACAACTATAAATACCAAATAAAATAATTTCTTAATAGGTTTATAATAAGAAGTGCATATTTGACATAAAAAAGTAATAATAGGTTATAAACCTTTTTTTTTTAAATACTGAAAGGTGCTCCCTTAAATAAAAAGTAGATTACTGTCTCACGAAAGTACAACGTCATTTTAGAAAAAGTCCAACTTTATCATTTTCAACCTTGATTGATATTTAAGACAATTTTGTTTGTTATGGTTGTTAGTTTTGATGAGAATTCATTAATGCGTTATGAATTCAAATTATGTTTAATTTGTATAATTTATTCGTACTATATGCCTTTGTGTGTGGAAATAGCAGTATACTCAATGAAAGTAGGATGCGAAATTAGTCTAACACATAAATAAACAAACCAAAATATCCTGCTAGAATGGTATAAACACGTGTTGATATAAAATTGTAAACCCAACGACTTAGATTCGTTATATTTGTGTGTTTCTAGGTAAATAATATGTCAAGTCTTTTATTTGATTTCACTATCTATTTACCAAGTATTTTATTTGTATACTAAGATACTAAGTGTGAGACCCATGTAATATGCAGGTTTATTAAAAGGACCAAAAGTAAAGATGTTAGCAAAAAAAGACCATTCACGCAAGTTTTGATAACCACAAGGACCATGTTCATAAAAAAATATGTACCATTGAGTTTGTGACCTTTGGTAAACCACATAAACCATTTATGTAATTTGATCTTAATTAATCTATACTAATAAAATTAATTAATATGAATTCAGAACTAGAAGGTATTATCAGCATTAATTATTATATTAATAGAAAGTGGATTTCACAAATACAAAGATATTATGTACATTAATTAATATATTAATACAATTAGTTAATACGAGATGGTATTTAGTAGGTTGAATTTGAATAAAAAAGAACAAAAAACTATAAAAATGATAAGTGGATATTAAATAATTCAAAAGGTTTAGAAAATGACAAATGTCAAAATGAATGAGAAGATAACATGTAGCAAAATCTTTCATATTTATTAGGCTAGATAAGTTGACATTTCATCAAATATTTATTATATATACTTTCTCAAATTTAGAAATTATGTGAAATTTAAGTTCTAAAAATGTTCATCTCAATCTGTTTTCACCATGAACAATTTTGGAATTGCCCAGAATCTAGGAACAAGTTTTGAATGTATTTACTTTTTCTTATTTTTGAGAGGGATTTTGAAAAATCTATATGTATTCTAAGAAAGTTAAAAACCATTTTTTGAATAATCCCTCTCTGATTTCACCCTCTTCTGCGCCTGCGCCTGACTCACTGAGTTTGAGTCACTTAGTCAAATCTTTCTGACAATCAGCGACACCTTTTGCCTCCGCCTCTCAATAGACTCATACACCTTCACCGATCGAACTCCGCCTATTCGTTTGTGTAGTTTAAAGTTCCACCATCGGCCTCCCTCACTACCCTTGTCCGCCAATGTTGTTGGCCTCTTGGCAGGTTGTAAAGTTTTTTCTGTCATTCTCCACCTCTTCTTTTTACTTGAAAATCACGTCTTCAAGATCAGGCACATCATCTTTATTTGATTTTGAAAACTAAGATATGTTAAACAACTTTCTTCGTATCTATAGTGTATGTGTATGAAACACTAGATATATTTATGTTTAACGCTTAATTCATTAATATCATGTTGAATACTATAAAGGTTTATCTATGTTGCTTGACTTAAAATTGATTTGTTTATGTTGATTAATGATTGAGTTTAGGGATAAGCTTTGGAATCGGACTAGAACCTAAACCGGTTTTGCGATATTCTAAGAACCGGGAGATGGACCACCGGTTCCAGGTTTTGGTTACTTTTTCCAAACAAGAACTGGTTATAAATAATGTGAAACTAATGATGATGCAATTCATATTACTCACATGTAGTCAAGTTTTCTTCTTATAAAACATAATATTCAATGATCAAGTTTGCAAACATTGTTTAATATTCCTATATATCAAATTTAATACAATTCAACCAATAAAGTTTCAACCACAAGAACAATTTAATATCATTTCTACGATTCTACCAAAAGTAACCTAGCTAACAATTGTCTACTTCTCCATCGACCTTTTTCTCATTGCTTTGTTATTGTGTGTAGCTACCTAATATCTATATAAAACACAAAACAAGAAGGTTGTTAGCATTTAGTAAAGTGTAAATTACTGAAATCGTCCCTCTGGTTTGGTCATAACTGCAAGTTTGGTCCTAACGTTTTTTTGCACTCGGACTATCCCTCTACTTTGTTTATGTTACGGTTATGATCGCTAACAGACATGAAAAGACAATTTTACCCTTGCTATATATTTTTCCCACATTTTAAATAACTAGTAAATGCTTATTTATAATAAAAACTCATTGGGTCCCTCCACCATTTCCTAACTCCGACCCCAAAACAAGCCCCCATTTGATGCCACCTTCTCCGAAGGGCAACCTCTTATATGTAGTCGTTTC